TCACTGTATATTGTCTCTGTTCCTTTCTGGTCTAAGTTACTTTTGTGCTCTCTTTTTGCTTAAAGGATCCCTTTTAATATTTCTTGTAGGGCTGGTTTGGTGACACAAATTCTTTTAGTTTGTCCTGAATTTTTTTTTAATCACTCCTTCTATTTTGAATGACATTCTAGCTGGGTAAAGTATTCTTGGCTGCATATTTTTCTCATCACCCTGAATATATCATATCCATTGTTTCTGGCCTACCAGGTCTCTGTTGATAGGTCTGTTGCCAATCTAATATTTCTACCATTGTAGGATACAGATCTTTAGTCCTGAGCTGCTTTCAGGATTTTCTCCTTTTCTCTTGAGATTTGTAAGTTTCATTATCATATGTTGGGGTGTTGACCTATTTTTATTGATTTTGAGGGAGGTTCTCTGTGCCTCCTGGATTTTGATGTCTGTTTTCTTCCCCACATTAGGGAAGTCTCCACTATAATTTGCTCCAGTATACCTTGTGCCCCTCTCTTTCTCTTTCCTCTTCTGGGATCCCAATTATTCTAATATTATTTCACTTAATGGTATCACTTAGCTCTCAAATTCTCCCCTTGTTGTTTATCACTCTTTTTCTCAACTTCTTTATTCTCCATCGTTTGGTGTTCTATATCACTAATTCTCTCTTCTGCCTCATTTATCCTAGCAAGAGCCTCCATTTTTTTATTGCATCTCATTGACAACCTTTTTCACTTTTAAAAAAATTTTTATATATTTTTTAAATTTCTTTTCAGTGTTCCAGAATTCATTGCTTATGCACCACACCCAGTGCTCCATGCAATACATGCCCTCCTTAATACCCACCACCAGTTAGACTTTAGTTCTTTTACTTCTCCAGAAAGGGATTCTCTAGTGTCTTCTATGCTTTTTTCAAGCCCAGCTAATATCTTTATAATCATTATTCCTAACTCTAGTTCCAGCATCTTAACTTATGTCCATATTGATTAGGTCCCTTGCAGTCAGTACTGCTTCTTGTTCTCTTTTTTGATAGTCACCTTTTGATACTTCTCCGTCTTGTCGCTCTATCCAGAGAAGAATAGATGAACGATAGAACAAAATGCAAAATGGCAACAATGACCCCAGAGAAATATATGCTAAACAAATCAGAAGATACCTGAAACTGGGGGTGAGGGGAGAAAGAAAAAAGAGAATATAATTAGATGAGCAGAATAGAGCAATACATTGGATTTTGTGTGTATTTTGTTTTGGTTTTTTGTTTTGTTTTTGCTTTGTTTTTTTTTTGTTGTTTGTTTGTTTGTTTTTTTTTAGAAAACTAGATCCCAAAATTGTAAAGAAATAATGTAAAAAATAAAATTAAATACACTGAAAAGATAGAACATAACTGCAAAGATGAAAATTTTAAAAGCCTTTAACAAAACAAAACAAAACAAAACAAAAGAAGAAGAAACAACAACATAAAAGAGAATATGATCCGACAAATGAATAGGAACAGATTTTGACTATATTTTAGTCTGTTAGAAGAAGTTGCATCCCAAAATTGTAAAGAAAGAAAAACTTACATAATGAAGGGATAGAATGTAACTGTAAAAATGAAAATCAAAAAAGATTTTTAAAAGTTGATAAAATAAGAAATTGGTTGAAAAGGAAAGAAAAAAATTAAAGTTGAAAAACTAAGGAATCGTGGGGGAAAAACCACGAGTTCTATGTGCTGTATTCCCCTAGCGCTGGAGTTCTGCAATTCTCATTGATCCATAAACTTGATGGCCGGATGATCTTGCTGATCTTCTGGCGGAGGGACCTGTTGTGTGGCTTTTCCAGTGTATTTGCCTGAGGTGGACTTGCACCGCCCTTGCCAGGGGCTGAGCTAAGCCATCTGCTAGGATTCGCTCTTGGAGCTTTTGTTCCCTGAGCGCTTTCCGTACCGCTTTGGAGGACGGGAATGAAAATGGTGGCCTCCTAATCTCTAGCCCAGAGGAGCTGAGTGCTCAGGGTCCCACTCCTCAGTGCACCCTTGGAGAAAAGCGCTCGATCCTTCCCGTCTCCCTGGTCTCCGGCTGCTGCTCTGTGCTCACCCGGCCTGTGACCAAGCGTTTCTGTCTCTGACACTCGGCCCCGTTTGGCGTCTCCAAAGCCAGCCGATTCCTGCTGTGCGCTCTCACGCTGGGCGTCTCCCTGGATCTGCCACTTGTGGGGTCCCTGCTGGAAGAGCAGTGGCCCAACTGTGCTGTGGATCATGGTTTAAGGTAACCCCGAGCTGAGAGCCCCCACCTTGGCTCTGTCTCTGCAGCCAGCTTCCCCACTCCGATACCTGGGGCTCTGCCACACTCAGACACCCTCGATCCTTCTGTGACCCAGCAGGTCTTGAGACCACACTGTCCCCACGAGGGCTACTTAGCCTCTGGAGTGACGTCACTCAGTGAAGCAGACTTCTACAAGTTCCGATTTTGTGCTTTCCTGCTCTACTGCTTGCTGGGAGCCAGCCCCTCCCCCCATGGTCTATCTTCCTATATGTCACCTCGGATTCACTTCTCCCTGCATCGTACCTTCCAGGTGGTGGTCGATTTTCTGTTCCTAGAATTGCTGCTCTTCTTGTCTTCGATCTCCGGTTGAGTTCGCAGGTGTTAAGAATGATTTGATAGCAATCTAGCGGAATTTCTGGGACCAGATGAAATTAAGGTCTATTTCTCTCCCATCTTCCTCCATTCGGTCTTTTTTTTTTTTTTTTTTAAGATTTTATTTATTTATTTATTTGAGGGAGAGAATGAGAGCGAGAGAGAGCATGAGAAGAGGGCAGGTCAGACAGAGAAGCAGACTCCCCACCAAGCAAGGACCCTGATGCGGGACTCGATCCTGGGACTCCAGGATCATGACCTGAGCTGAAGGCAGTCGCCCAACCAACTGAGCCACCCAGGCGCCCCCTCCATTTGTTCTTGATGTTGTTTTCCCCTCAAGCCTGCATCTCCAAATTTGGGGGTGAGGGGGGTCCTAGGCCCTCTCTTCTCTTGGGACCCAATAAGGTGAGTGGCAAGATGGCTCTTGGTGCCTTTCTTTGTTCTTATGGTACAAGAATTCCTCAGTGTTTTTCAGTGCCTTCTTCCCCTCCCCCTTCTCTCCCTCTCCTATCCTGGACCTTAGATCCAAAGCACTGAGTTTCTCACACTCAATTCATGGTGCACGGATGTTGTGTCTTACAGGGCTCCTCTCCATTTTAGACTGTTTCTCCCTCCATTTCGTAATTTGCATCCTCCTCCCTCAGGGCTCCCTCTCTGTGCTTTGTATATCTTCATTTGCATCTTTGAAAACTGCAAATTGGTTTTATTGTTTTTGGCCCACATATATGTTTATATTTGACTAATAGTATTATTGTTCAGATTCCCCTCCCCGATAATTTTTTTTCACTTGCTACGGAGATCGGCAAACAACCCCATGGACCCAATCCAGCCGCAGCTTGTTTCTGTAACCAAAGTTTGATTGGAACACAGCCACGCCTAATCACTTGCACTATGCCGGTGGCTGTTCCCTTGCTGCTACAGTGGCACAGACCATCTGGCCAGCGATGTTGAAAACATTTACTATTTGGCCCTTTACAGAAGAAGTTTATTGACCTCTCTGACTTAGCACGATATTTTGTTGTTTTGTTTTAAGTTGCACTGAAACATACATAACCTAAAATATACCATCTTCTTTGAAGGGTGTAGTTAAGTAGTGTGAAAGCACATTCACACTGTACAGCTACCACCACCAGCATCCATCTCCAGAACTTTTTCATCCCACAAAACCCGAACTCTGTCCCCATTAAAGAGAAACTCCTGTTCCCCCTCCTTCCGTCCCAGAGCAACCACCGTTCCATTGTTCTGCTTTCTGTCTCCGGTTTGACTCCTCTAGATATCTCACAGAAGTGGAATTGTATACAGTATTTGTCTTTTTGTGTCTTACCATAGTGTCCTCAGGGTTCATCCCTGTTGCAGCACCTGTCAGACCGTCCTTCCTTTTTTTAAGATTTTATTTATTTGACAGAGATCACAAGTAGGCAGAGAGGCAGGCAGAGAGAGAGCAGGGGAAGTAGGCTCCCCGCTGAGCAGAGAGCCCGATGTGGGGCTTGATCCCAGGACCCCGGGATCATGACCTGAGCCGGAGGCAGAGGCTTTAACCCACTGAGCCACCCAGGCGCCCCTTCTGTTTCTTTTTTAAAAAGGCCATTCTAATGGGTGTGAGGTACCATCTTATTACTGTAATTTTGATCTGCATTTCCCGAATGATTAGTGATGTTGAACATTCTTCCATGTGCTTGTTGGCTATTTGTATATCTTCTTTGGAGAAATGTCTGTTCAAGTCCTTTGCTCATTTTTTAGTTGGACTGTTTTGTCATTTTTTTTTTTTTTTGGTATATTCTGCTTATCTTGATATCTGCATATCCTTACCAGATACATGATTTGCAAATATTTTTTCCTGTTCCACGGGCTGCCACATTCTGTTCTGGTGACTGTGTCCTTGGATATACAGAAGTTTAAATTTTGATGTAGTTGGGAGGTTCTGTTTTTACATTAGTTGCCCATGAACAGTCTATTTTCAGATCTAACCATATTGCCACATATGGATCTGGTGTTCTGCTTTTGACTGTAAGATGCATGGTTCAGAGTCTGCTTCTCTAGCTTCCTAGTGGTGATCCCTTGGTGCCCCCAGTAGCCCACACCCACACCCTGCCTCAGTGAACAGCCTACATATGTTCTCACAGAGCTCCATCAAAGGGTCTCTACCGTTTATACCCAGGCATGAAATGTGTGGATGGGAGGGCATATACATAGTTTAGTTTCACTAAGTATTGTCAGCCCTCTTCCCACCATCTCAAACTCTGGTCTTATTTGACATCTTTAAAATGTATTATTTTTCTGGACAATTGTGGTTGCAGTCTCTGGCCATTTGGAGGAGGAGGAGTGTGTGAAACAGAATTGTTGGCATCAGAGACTGCTGCAAAGAAAACGCCGTTTCCTTTCTTCCCTGTTCTCCAGGTTGGACTTGGGACTGTTTCCAAGAATGGGGCTCCTACATCCAGCTGGCTATTCCCAGTATGTTCATGGTGTGCATTGAGTGGTGGACCTTTGAGATTGGAACCTTCCTCGCAGGTTTGTCAATGGTACAGTAGAAATCCAAGAACAGCCTGGCCATCCTTGTCTCCAGGCCTTCTCAAGAGCCATGGGCCTTACTCCTCCTTCCTTCCCATTGTGTCAGATGTTCTTGGAAGTTTCAACTTAGGTTTAAATCCTTGTCCAACTGTAACCATATTCAAGTTGAGTGGGGCTTTTAGCTCTGCCTCACTGCCCTTTACTTTATGGATTCAGAAAGGGAGGCCCCAGGTAAAAGGTTTGGCAAGGTCATGGAGAGGGGGAGCAGAAATCCCAGTCTGGGTCTCCTGACTCTACCAGACCCTCTGCTTCCACTGACTTTTGCTAGGGATCATGCAAGTTTTTAAGCCATTTACAAACACAGAGTCCCTCATTTGGCTGTGTTTTCTTTTTTTTTTTCCTTTTTTTAAGATTTTATTTATTTATTTGACAGACTGAGATCACACGTAGGCAGAGAGGCAGGCAGAGAGATCAGGGGAAGTAGGCTCCCCACTGAGCAGAGAACCTGATGTGGGGCTCAATCCCAGGACCCTGAGATCATGAACTAAGTTGAAGGCAGAGGCTTTAACCCACTGAGCCACCCAGGCGCCCCTTGGCTGTGTTTTCAATGTGATCTTTGTTTCTATCAGAGATCTGATAATTTCGGTCATAAGTTTTCACCTTAGCCATCTTACTGCTAGTAAGGCAATAGAGGAAATAATAGAGACAGAGGATCCGGGGACTTGAATACTCCTGTCATCCCGCCATGCTCTATACAGAGTTCCGCTGCATTCTGTCCTTCCCCTCCCACACTGTGACCCTATGGCTCCCAGGTATGACCTGCAACCCCAGGAGCCTCGTTGTTTTCTACTCTAAACCTGATGTTTTGTGGAGTCAGGTAGAGCAGGGGCCTATAGACTGAACCTGTATTGGGTCTTAGCTGCCCCAATTCTTGGAAGCGTCCTGGGAGCAGACATCTGGGGCTCTCCTCAGCATGCATAGTGAATTGTGCCACTGGGTTATGCTTCTGGGGCCAATCCTGGCTTCTTTTTAAATTCTTTTTTTCTTTTTAAAGATTCATGTATTTATTTGAGGGAGAAAAAGAGAGCATGCACATGAGTTGGGGGAAAGGGCCAAGGGAGAGAACCTTCAAGCAGACTCCCGCGACGGTCAGTGTCACAACCCATGAGATCATGACCTGAGCTGAAACCAAGAGGTGGACCCTTAACCGACTGAGCCACCCAGGCGCCCCCTCGATTCTTCTAAATTAAGATCTATTCTAGTTTCCTAAGGAAAATATTTGTTTTAACCCACCTTTTAAGTTGTGTTTTGTACGTGTCTGTGCTAATATTTCAGGTCTGATTAGTGTGACGGAGCTTGGGGCCCAGGCCATCATTTACGAACTGGCTTCTGCAGCCTACATGGTAAGACCTTCAGGGTGAGACCCGGCACTCTCTCTGCATAAACTCTGCTGGGCCATTGTCACTGCCTTCATTCAACCCTCCATGCCATGCTCCAGGGAGAGAGGAGACAGACAGACAGACAGCAGGGGAGGGAGCACAGCATACTGGGGGGAACATGGAGTTTGGAGCCAGACATTGGGTTTGAGTCCTGCTGTGCTGTTCCCTAACTGTGCAACTGTGGACTCATTACTTAACCTTTCCAAGCTTCACTTTTCTCATCTACAAAATGGGAAAAACAGTATGTATGTAGCAGGTGAAGACTGAATAGGATAGAAAATGTGTTAAAGTACTTAACACAATGCCTGGCATGTCTATTCAACAAATACGGAGTTGGTGCTAGGACCTGATGGAGAGCGGGACAAAGACAGTCCCTGCCCTCTCGTGGCCTGTGGTTTGGCGGGGAGACAGAGACAACGAAGTAAACAGATACACAAGAACATTACAAACATAGATGACACATCCCATAGAGGAAGGAAAAAAAAAAAGTCTGAGATGAGTAAAAATAGAGATGGATACCGTTTTAGGGAGGACAGTCAGAAACCATTCTTCTGAGTTACTTGGTAAGCTGAGACTGGAAAGGGGAATGGGAGGCAGCCCGGCAAGCCAGAGGCTGAGAGCTGACTGCAGGGCTCCCCAATGGAAAAGAGCATGTGGCATGTCCCGGTACTCAAAACAGTAACCTGGGCTAAGGAGGAAGGAAGGGTGTGACACGTAGAAGCTGACTTAGGGGAGCACAGGTGTTTGGGCAGGTCTGGAACAGGCTACTGGAATCATCTAGGTGAGCACATAGGAGGCTGCTGGTGGATGGGGAGAAAAGTGGGTGAGTTAGTTGTGTTGTAGGGCAGAGGACATGACCAGGGTTTAGACATGGAAGTCAAGGCAATGAGTACGAAGAATTACAAACTACCCCCAAGTTTCTGGCTTGGATAACTGTGTCTTGTACTTCTTGATTCTTTTGGAATATTCCAAACCTGTACAGATACTCCTCTTTTTTTTGTTTGATTCTTTTTTTTTTTTTTTCAAGTTCAACAAACACCATCTGGGCAGTGGGATTATGGGCCATTTTTGTTTCCATGTATTTTTTTTTAAAGATTTTATTTATTTATTGGACAGACAGAGATCACAAGTAGGCAGAGAGGCAGGCAGAGAGAGACGGGGGGAAGCAGGCTCCCCGCTGAGCAGAGAGCCCGATGTGGGGCTTGATCCTAGGACCCGGGGATCATGACCTGAGCCGAAGGCAGAAGTTTTAACCCACTGAGCCACCCAGGTGCCCCACTGTGTATTTTTTCTTTTTATTCTTAAAAATGAAAACGGGGTTTTTTTAGTGGGGATTGATGACGTTGTTTACGAATACAAATGGAGAGTGTCTAGGAGAAAACCTCAAGATGTAGAAGTCAGGAATAGGACAACCCAGCCAAAAGGGAGGGCAGGCCAGTGTGGAATGAAGGAAATCAGGAGAACGTGTCATACAGGAGGCCGGTGATGAAGAACCATTCACAGAAGGAATGTCAGTTGGGGTGGGGACTCCTGGGGGGGGCTCAGGGGGAAGCAGGCTCCCCACTGAGCAGAGAGCCCGATGCGAGGCTTGATCCCAGGACCCTGGGATCATGACCTGAGCCGAAGGCAGAAGTTTTAACCCACTGAACCACCCAGGTGCCCCCCCCCTTTTTTTTTTAAATTGTGCTAAAAACCACATAATATAAAATATACCGTCTTTTAAAAATTAATTTATTTGAGGGAGGGTGCACAGGAGCACAAGCAGGGGTGGGGGGCGGGGTAGAGGCAAAGGGGGAAGCAGACACCCCGCTGAGCAGGGAGCCCGATGCCCGAGCTCAATCCCAGGACCTGGATCACGAGCTGAGGTGAAGGCAGACGCTTAGTGACTGAGCCACCTAGGTGCCCCCAAATTTACAATCTTAACCAATTTTAACTGTGCAATTTAGTTGTGTTAACACTTTTGAGCTGCCAAGCTCCAGAAACTTTTTGTTCCATAAGACTCTAAATTCTACCCATTCCACAGTTACCTGCTTCCCCTGCCCTCAGCCTCTAGCAACCACTGTTCTTTCTGTTTCTTGTCACAGGCTTTCCTTTGTTAGAGGCAGTAAGGCAATAATTCTTCATTATTTCCTATGGGAAAAAAGTCCAGCAGGGGTGAACATCCAATCAAAATCACAAAATACAAAGAAATAATCCACCACAAGCAAAATTTGGACAGATACAACAAACAGAAAAATTAGAGTTCAGAGCTTGAGATGATGGAGGAATAATTGGGGAATAGAAAAGTATGTTTAAAATTGTTCATAAAAGGAGGAGCTGAAATGAAAAAAACAATATTTGGGAAAGAACCAGGTATGATTTTTAAAATTACAAATTATAGCCATACAAATGTAATACTCGATGGGATGAACAGATGAGTTAAAGCTGGAAAATCACATAATGAACTTGACCAGTTGGTGGAAATTCCAGAATAAAACAAAGACATGTAAGCAGATGGAAATTAGATACAAAGACCAACCCTTGCATATGTGATCAGATGATTTTTGACAAAGATGCCACAGCCATTCAATGGGGAAAGGACAGTCTTTTCAGTAATGGGTACTGGGAAACTGGGTATCCATCCACATGAGAAAGAATGAAGTTGCCGTCTCATTACCTCACACCATATACACAGATGAACTCAAAGCGGATCACAGACCTAAATGTAAGCCATAAACAGTAAAACTTCTAGAGAAAGATGCAAGGCAGAAGTTTCATGACATTGGATTTGGCAATGATTTCTTACACATGACACCAAAGGCACAGGCAACAAAAGAAAAAACAGGCAAGCTGGACTTCATGAAAATTGAAAAATGATGTGCATCCAAAGACAACATTCATAGAAGAGAGAGGCAGCCCACAGAATGGGAGAAAATATTCACAAATCCTATGGGATAAGAGATTACTATCCAGAATATAGACAAAACTCCTAAACCTCAGTAGCAAAAAAACAACCAACCAATCAAAAAGTGGGCCAAGGACTTGAATAGATATTTCTGGAAGGAAGATGTACAATAAACACATGAAAAAATGCCCAACATCAATAATCATTAGGAAATACTTACAAAAAAACTACATTGGGATACCGTCTCATACCCATTAGGGCTACTATTTTTTAAAATAAAACCCAAAACAAAGAAACTAACAGGGCTTGCTGAGGGTACAGAAGAATTGGGACCCTTGTGTGCCATTGGTGGGAACGTAAAATGGTGTATACCCACTATAGGAAGAAAACGTGGCAGTTCTTCAGAAAATTAAAAATAAAAGTATCCTGTGATCCTGCAATGTCACTTTGGGGTACACAGAAAAAAAAAGCAAGATCTCCAGAAGCTAGCTGCACACCTATGAACACAGCAGCATTATTCCCATGAGCCAAGGGTTGAAGTGACCCAGATGTCCACCGACAGATGAGTGGATACGCAGAACGCGATATAGACATACATCGGAGTAGGATTCTGCCTTAAAAAGGAAGGAGGGGGCACCTGGGTGGCTCAGTGGTTTAAGCCGCTACCTTCGGCTCAGGTCATGATCTCAGGGTCCTGAGATCGAGTCCCGCGTCGGGCTCTCTGCTCAGCAGGGAGCCTGCTTCCCTCTCACTCTCTCTGCCTGCTTGTGATCTCTGTCAAAATAAATAAAATCTTAAAAAAAATTTAAAAGGAAGGAGGGTCTGATACCTGCTACAACGTGGATGAATCCTGAGGACACTATGCTAAGGGAAACAAGCCAGTCCCCAAAAGACAAAATTCAGACAAATTTATTTAATACTACAGTATTCTATCTGTCAAATAAATAAAATCTTTTTAAAATATGTTATAAAACCAATTCATACTTAAGCAGCACATAATGTGCTCACATAGTTCTGGGTGTCACAAACTGAAAATAAATTTGCTTCCTCCTTTTGAGGCCAGTTCCCCAGGGGTGGCCACTTGAGAACCCTTGTTGGTTGTATTTCAGATGATTGAGCCTAGAGCTTTATTCCTACATTTCCCATCACCACTGACTCCCTGTTAGGATGAGGATTGCCACTCACTTTCCACAACATCTCCCTCTACCTTCAGGTGCTGGTTATTTCTGCTTCTCTTAGTGGTTACTGTTGTGACTGATAATGGTAAAGATAGACCTCTATTCCCTGATCCCACACCTTTGTAGACACCTGCAACTTAACCTCCGAGATGAACGTTGTATCCTTGTTTCTTTACATCTCTCTTCCCGGTTGCCTCCCAAATCCAATAAGATATTAACAACAGCCACATGCTGTGGGCCAGGCACTATTCCAGACACTTCGCAGACAGTAGCCCATGGGGTCCTGTGTGAGGGATTTCCTGCTATTTCCTACCAACCTCCCAGCAGAGGAACTGGGATCCAGAGACAGGAATTGGTACAAGTTCAGGGAAGTAACTGGCTGAGATCGGATCCCAGAGGCCTCCCTTCAGAGTTCAAGTTCTTTTTTTTTTTTTTTTTAGGATTTTATTTATTTGACAGAGATCACAAGTAGGCAGAGAGGCAGGCAGAGAGGGGAAAGCAGGCTCCCTGTTGAGCAGAGTCCGATGTGGGGCTTGATCCCAGGACCCCGGGATCATGACCTGAGCCGGAGGGAGAGGCTTAACCCACTGAGCCACTCAGGCGCCTAGAGAGTTCAAGTTCTTAATCATGGTGTCATACTGCCCCTCAGCTCTCCTTGTCTTTATTTTGTAAGGGCTATAACCTTTGAATTGTGTTCTGTAATCACTGTCATCTCGTTCATGTTTTAGAGCTTGTCTGAAAGTCTGGAAACCACTTAACACTAGTGACCAGATGGTATCAGGAATTTTGGGTTTAGAATTATGTGCAGACCCAAGTGATAGTGTGCTCTGGTTGGGAAGGAAATATCCCAGTACACACCCAGATTCCCACTGGAAGGAGACTGGTACAAGTGAAAGGTGATGTGTGTTATTTTTTTCTTGCTTTCATCAGTTTATCAAAATCATGTATTTTAGCTTGCTTCCTATTTACAGTATGACTTTTCTCTATGGCCCTTTATTAAGTTTTGGAGGACTTTTCATAGGGTTTCTTTATTTCTTGTTGTCAGCAGAGTATAGCCTCACTAAGGTCATGCAGTGTTTGGACCGTTTGATGCGATTCCCTTTTCTTCTTGAAGATTTTAGGGCTCTTTGAATCCCTGGTTTAATTTGTATCCCTGAGTTCTAGACTTCTTCCTGGGGTGCCCCACGGCTGTCACGCCATAATTATTTCTCATTGTCCTCATGAATTAAATTGACAATTTCTGGGATCTTGCTTCTTCTATTTTATTATATTCCTTTAAAAAAAATATTTGGAGGGCGCCTGGGTGGCTCAGTGGGTTAAGCCTCTGCCTTCGGCTCAGGTCATGATCTCAGGGTCCTGGGATCGAGGCCTGCATCGGGCTCTCTGCTCAGCGGGGAGCCTGCTTTCTCCTCTCTCTCTCTATGCCTGCCTCTCTGCATACTTGTGATCTCTCTCTCTGTTTCAAATAAATAAAATCTTAAAAAAAAAATATTTGGATTATTGGGGCACCTGAGTGGCTCAGTTGGTTAAACGTCTGACTCTTGATTTCAGCTGAGGTCATAATCTCAGGGTGGTGACATCAGACCCCACATGGGGCTCTATCCTGAGCACGGGTCCTACTCAGGATTCTCTCTCTCCCTCTCCCACTGCCTCACCCCACACTCTTAAAAAATTTTGGATTATTTAGTCAAAAACTTTACCCTAAGATTATATGGAAGGTAAGCTGTGAGCTATGCATGTTTGAAAGAACCTTTATTTTCCCCATATACGTGTTCAGTAACTTGGCTGAGTATAGATTTGTAGGTTCAGAACAAGCTTCCCTCAGAATTTTTAAGACATTACTGTGTGTTCATCTGGCATTGAGTTCCTAGTGTGAAGTCCGATATTAATCTGGTTCTTATTCCTTTGTGATGACATGGTTTTTCTCTTTGAAAGTTATCACATTTATTTTCTTTGTCCATGTACTTTGTGAACTTTCTCAAGTGTGCTTTTCTGTGAAGGTACTACTTTGCTTATCCTGCTTCTGGGGGCTTGGTATATCCTTTCTGACTGAAGACTTCTGTTTTCCCCTTACTCTGAGAAGTTTTTAAAATATTACTCCTTCTCCCTTTTCTGTACCTTTTTTCTATTCTTGTTAATTTCCACTTAGGTGGAGTTGATGTCCAGTATCGAACTTGGGTTTTTTTCTTTTTCATCCATTAAAAAAGAACTCTGTGTTTTTGCTATTAAATGTTTTCACTTTTTTTTTAAGGTTTTTTTTTTTTAATTTATTTGACAGACAGATCACAAGTAGGCAGAGAGAGAGAGGAGGAGGAGGCAGGCTCTCTGCTGAGCAGAGAGCCCGATGCGGGACTCGATCCCAGGACCCTGAGATCATGACCTGAGCCGAAGGCAGAGGCTTTAACCACTGAGCCACCCAGGCGCCCCTAAATGTTTTCACTTTTGGTTTTAATTTCCAATATCCCTTTCTTTTTCTATTATGGTCCCTTCTTTCTGGGAACCTGTTCTTGTTTTATGCTGCATTATCTGTTAGAAATCTTAGGGTACTAAGTTGACCCTTCAAACATTCTCTTCCATGCTTTCAGTCACCTCATTGTTACCTCTGAGCTCAGTTGGCCTTTTATTTACCTTGGTTTTTTGGGGGGATATGTTCTTCGGTTTTCCCCAAAGATCCCTTGATCTTTATTGGTCCCTATGTACTGACGAAAGAATGAACACATTGATTTATAAAATAAATGGCTTGCATGGCTTTTCTGACCTTGTCGTTTGGGAATTTTTCTCCAACAGACCTTTCCCCTGAGTGGGAGGCACCCGGAGGAAGCCGAGCACAAAGCTGGTATCTGTCAAGCGACACCTTCATTTTAGGGTTTGTGGCGAGTAACAGGGAGCGGGCAGTCTGCCCTCCTCATCCACGGCTCCTCTGCACCGTCCCCAAGACAGAATCCAAGAAGGGCTTGGTTCTGAGGTGCTCACGCCACACAGGGAGCTAACCCCTCCCCCCCAACTTGGCTTTTCTATGTTAGCTTAGTCTGTCTGTCTGCAGTGAGTCTAAAAGAGGATGAGGCAGGCAGTGGGGTCTGACTCTGCTGTTTGCAGCGAGTCCCCCTGAGCAGTGCTCACCGCTGCCTTGCGGACGGGCTTGAAGTTTCGAGCCTCCTTGGGCTGCGTGGGGAAGAGCGGGCGGGATCTGGCCTCTGCCTGTTCGTCGTCTGGACTGTGGCTTCCTGTGGTTCTACCCCAGGGTTATGACATCTGCCTTCTGTCTTCCAGAAGCCGGTCTGCTCTCTTACTCTCAGTGATGTGAATGAACGTCTTTTCTGTTCAGCATCTTTACTGGTATTTTATTTTATTTTTTAAAGATTTTACTTATTTATTGGACAGACAGAGATCACAAGTAGGCAGAGAGGCAGGCAAAGAGAGAGAGGAGGAAGCAGGCTCCCCGCTGAGCAGAGAGCCCAATGCAGGGCTCGATCCCAGGACCCTGAGATCATGACCTGAGCCAAAGGCAGAGGCTTTAACCCACTGAGCCACCCAGGTGCCCCTTTACTGGTATTTTAATAGTACTGGGGAGGCAAGAGAGTTAAGGACGCAAGACAGTCACTCATCTTGAACCGGAGGACATTAGGCATACTCTGACATGCAAGTCTTATAATGTTTGTGGGTTTTTTTGTTTTGTTTTGTTTTGTTTTTACCAATTCAAGCTGGCTTCTCCAAACAGTGACAATAACTTACAGGTTGCTGGGAGGATGCTGTTTCTAGTGGGAATGAGAGGTTAAATCTGATGCCTAAATTTTCAGCAGACATGACAGTTAAAACCCGTTTTCTATACAACCAACACTACCTAAACAGCTCCTGAGGGCAACACTGTGTTACAGAGTAATAATACGAAGTCAAAAGGATGACCCTGAAGGTTGAATAATGCTCTGTTCAAGAAGCAAGGAAGCTTATAGCTTCAGATTTCCATTATGATTGATGGAAAATAAAATTTTGGTATTTTGAAGGGACATCGGTCAGTGTCCCAGATAATTAGCTGTTTGGGCTGTTGGATGTGATGGACTCACGGAGTCTGAGTCTGTCAGCGTTGATCAGTTCCTACAGTGTTCCAGGCCTTGTTCTAAGTGCTTTTTCACAGGGTTCCTTCGATTTTTACAGATTATCTATTTGTACTACATTAAGTCTTCTCTTGTTGAATGTAGCTAGATTGAATTGAGTCTCGATGGTATGTGTTCAGCCCTCAAGTCCTGCTTCATTAAGGGATTCTGCCCTGGTGGACTTGATCCAGGGGGCGGTTGGGGGAGCGACTAGATTGTTCCAGCAAGAAGAGGTTGGGTGTGAGGGGCACTGGGCAGTTTGGTTATGCTCCCAGGGCTTGGATGTAATAGAACCAGTTCTAGAACACAGATTACTCTCTTTCTTGGGTTCCCGTGCGGTTGGACTCCGGGGCCCTAATATTCTAAGTCTCAGGCCCCCTGACCTCTTATGATTTGTGATTGTGTCTTCTCAGCTGCCCCTTGGCTTTGGTGTGGCAGCCAGTGTCCGCGTGGGCAATGCCCTGGGCGCGGGGAATGCTGAGCAGGCCCGGCACTCCAGCGTCACCGTTGTCCTCTGCGCTGGTGAGTCCAAGCACCGCCTCCTTCCAGCGCCCTCCTGGGTGTTGTCGGTTAACACACACACATCAGAACTTCTCTTGGGGATTGATTTACCCGTATAAACTCAACTGAAGTATTCCTCAAGCTCTTTCAAGTTTACCCAGTTAAATGAAAGTTCTCCTTATGATTTCCTGTCCTTTGGTATCAACGACATAATGTTACGCTTGGTACCGCTGAAGAATTTTCCAGTTGTTATCACCGGCAGGCTTGTTTTCTGACCAAAGTCTGGGTGACCGCTTCTCTGTGTTCCTGGATCCTGGCCTCCTCTAGCAGCTTTAACGTTGTGGCATCTGACCAGTTAGAGAAGATTCTGGTTGGCCTGGCCTCTTACTGACATCTTTCCTGTGAATCTGCCTTCGAAAAAGCAGTCAGAGTCGTCTGACCACCTTGGCTCTTTTCACAGACAGGAAGAAGAATCACTTCAAACTATCACATTTCCTAAATCCTTGACACAACCATCTCCTGAGGGTCCAGCTCTAGGATTTATTACCCTCGGGGGAATTTTCACTTCTGGTTGCTTCTTCTTTATCTTCCAGGCGTTTGCGCACTCGTGGTGGGCATTTTACTCGCAGCTTTGAAGGATGTGGTTGCCTACATATTTACCAGTGACAGGTGTGTACTTGTCTTCTCGAGAAATGTTTTCTGTTTTATGCTTGCTTGCTTTTTTTTCCCCAGTGTACTTTCCTGGTTCTAAGAGGTAAGTACTGTTTTCCCTCAACAGGAAAATCCGCAGTATAGCCCAGAATGAGAACCACAATTACTAAATTTGGATGAATCTGGGTGAAGGAAGCCCATGGTAACCACTCCCCATTCCTCCAAGACCCTGTTTCTTCAGTTATCGAGCCTGAGTGGGGTTTCTCTTGTGTTCAGTGCTGGTTTGGCTCAGAGACACCCAGAAAAAGCACATGGGGTGTCTTCATCCCCGGAAGCGCACCCCCGCCCCAGGGCAGAGCACACAGATACCATGTACGCCTGAATCCAAAAGGCAGAATTTGCATAGATCACTAACTCAATCTTAGGTTGAGTTTTACTGTATTTTCTGTAATGATATGTTTGCACAATTATTTTGATATAATGAAGGGTCGTTTGAATCAACTGGATCCTCTGTATGATAAGGCTTCAGTAATTTGCACTGGTTGCCTCAGATTAGTCCTCTGAAGAAATTCAGTTTTACTCCTTCCCAGTGTGCTCTCTTATTTTCATTTTGTTGGTTTGTTTTATTTAACTTTTAAAGATTTTATTTATTTATGTGAGAGAGAGCACAGGCAGAGAGGAGGGCAGGGACAGAGGGAGAAAATGAGCAGGGAGCCTGATGTGGGACTTGATCCCAGGACCCTGGGATCATGACCTGAGCAGAAGGCAGACATTTAACCAACTGAGCCACCCAGGTTCCCTGAAATATTCTTATAAAATTTTAGGACTGGGGCACCTGGGTGGCTCAGTGGGTTAAGCCTCTGCCTTTGGCTCGGGTCATGGTCTCAGGGTCCTGGGATCGAGCCCCACATCGGGCTCTCTGCTTGGCAGGTAGCCTGCTTCCCTATCTCTTTCTGTCTGCCTCTCTGCCTGCTTGTGATCTCTCTTTTTCTGTCAAATAAATAAATAAAATCTTAAAAAAAATCTTAGGACTGAGGAGACGGTCAGGTAGAATAGTAGGGACTGGGGTCACTCTCCTGCTTTAAATAACTAAAAAACTGGGCAGAGTCTATATATTTTCAAATGGTTCTCAGACGTTGGGCAACAGGCAGCGCAGAATAGTAATTCCTGAGGGAAGAAACAAAGAGAACCCTGTGACTGCTCCAGCTTACCCCAAGGGAATTTCCAGGCCACAGCCCCGATGGGGAGGGGACCTGGCAAAGCCCCTCCATCTCCCGGGCTGAAGGAACAGAGTACGAGTTTGGAGAGGCCACGTGACTAGAGTTCACAGAGCAGAGCGCCAGAGGGGAGAGAGCTCCCAGAGAGAGCTGTGGAGAACTACAGCGGGTCTCCCTTGTGTCTTCAGCTAATCGCTGAGCTGCGCACGCGCGTGAGGTTGTGACTGAGGCTAAGAGAAAATCTCCTGAACATCGAAGGCAAAACAACCCCTGCGACTCATGAAGGGCCGCGAAGAATTTGTGCTCCCACCAGCCAGAGCAAACAAACCTCATCACGCATGGGACAGCTGGTGGGGTTCTCATATGGATCTTGCCTTGACAGTGGAGGAGAATTAGCCCTAGGAGGGAGGCTGGCCTGGTGCACCCAACTAAACTTAAAGGCAAACCTTACGGGATCAAACTATCTCCCAAGAAATTTAACTGCATCCCAGAACTTAACTGCATCACACCTCAGGAGTATCTAAACTAGTACAAGACTAGGTTGTACCCAAGAAACTCAAACTTACAAAGCGTCTGTATCCAGTCAAAAGTGATGAGGCGTACAAAAAAGCAAGAAACCGAAATCCTTAATGAGAAGACACACCAATCAAGGAAACCGACCCAGGGATGAAATGGGTGATAGATACAGTTAGTGCCCAGGGATACTAAAAGTTCTTATAACCCTGTTTTGTATTTTCAAGAAGTTGGAGGAAAACATGAGCATGTTAACGTAAGTCATCAAGGATTTTTAAAACAAGTTGAATTTACAGAGCTGGGAAAAAAATGAGACAAAAATAGATTGGAGGAGCAAAGCGGACACTGTAGAAGAGAAGTGAACTTGAAGATAGAGGGATAGCACATATCCTCCATGAAATGGGGAGAGAAGAAAGTCTAGAAAAACACTAATGGAGCATCAGTGAGCCATAAATGACCTAAATATAACTAGAGTTCTCAAAGCAGAGGAGAGACAACTGGGGACTGAAAAAAACACTGGAAGAAATAATGACAAAAAACTTTCCAAATTTAGTACATTTTAGGATTAAAGGCATCTAAAAGGCTATTTGATACAATCACCCACCTGACATTGGGATTCCAACAAAAGATCTTCACCAAGTGGTCCGGCTTACATTTTTATAACTTCAGCAACAAGGAACTTGCTGTCTCCTAAGGCAGCTTTGGTTCTCGGGACACCCTTCTTATTTTGAGCTGAAACTTAGCCTTCCCCACTGTTAACTGTCACCAGTTACTCCAGTTCTCTGTTTGTGAGAATCTAAGTCTATCTCCGAGTTAATGGCCCTACAGCTGTTTGAAGGAGGCTTTCATGACCTGCAGTCTTCTCCATGGTAGACATGTGTAATTCCTTCAGCCATTTCTTGTGGAATGTTATTTTGAGTCCTGTCATCTTGAATTCACACACACCTGAAGACAGTGATCTTGGTCACCACCAATTTAGAGCAGAACTTTTTCCATTCTATCTCATTCTACCTCATTCTACCTGAATGACTGCTAGAGAAGTATTGAGTTTTTGGTGGCTACATTACACTGTGTTGAGCTGATTGCCAGTGTGCCCCTGATCAGCCCCAACATCCCCACCCACCCTTCATGTGGTTGTCGTCTTGGGCCCAAGTGCAGCGTCCTACATTTGTCCCTATTGATCGTTATTATTTTTTGACTCATCATGGCATTTTTGGTTCCCAGTTCTGTCAGTGACAGTGTTTCCCATCTTTTTCAGCTTCTGGGATCTGAACATGTGATATATACTTTTATATTTCCATTTTCTCCTCTTTTACCTAAAACTCTGGCATCTTCATTATAGTCTTCCTCTTTAGCCCGAAGTCCTGCCAGCATTGTGGGTGAACTTAGCATCCACGTGGATGAGCCATCATTGTCCGACCCTCACTCTAATGCCCTAGTCCTCACCTCAGTAACCTTCTCTGCCCTACTCTAGTCATACTCTTCCATGGGCATACTTTGGACTTTGTCATTACATAGAACTGTCCCATCTCCAGTCCTGCAATTGGTTACAACCCCAGTCCTTCCAGCCTGCTTTTAAGAGGGTTCGTCAAATGTGTGGGCCCTCCAGTGTGTAGACACCTTTGACCTTGCATTTATTTTCAATCCATCACGACCTTCCTACCTTTACTTCTCTACTTAGATAACTTAGATGCCATTACTTTAGTAACTCTCTTGCTAGTAATCTAAATTCCTTTGACCCTTCTATATGGCAGAACCCCCACCCTGGAAGAATCCAGTTGCAAATTTTCTGTAGCAGTAACTGATCATTTTGGAAAAGTCACACAAGGGGGTGCATCAGTTCCACTAAAAACTTAAGACCACCAACCACAAGTAGACCCTCAGTACTGTCTATCATGCATTTCTTTGATCATTTCACTGTCCATCCCTGCAGTCCATAGTAGACATTGTCTACACTCCTCAAACAGTTGATCCCTCCTTACCACCCTTGGCTGTCACTCTCAGCCAATGACCTTGCCTTTACTTTGAGTTTATCCTGTTTGGTGTTTTGTTGAGTTTCTTGATGTGTAGATTCATATCTTTCATCAAAGTTTTCAGCTATTCTGTTTTCAAAAAAATTTTTTTTCTGCTCCTTTTTCTCTCCTCACCTTCTGGAACTACCATCACGTGTGTGTGTTGGTACACTTGGTGTTCCAATGGGTCTCTGCATCTCTGTTCATTTTTCTTCATTTATTTGTCTGTCTGTTCTTCAGACAGAATAATCTCGATGATCCTATCTTCAGTTCACTGATTCTTCCTTCTGCTAGCTCAGATCTACTGTTGAGGCTCTCTACTGAATTTTTCATTTAAGTTTTTGTACTTTGCTTTTTTTTTTTTAAAGATTATTTATTTATTTATTTGAGAGAGAGCATGAGAAGAGAGAGGTCAGCAGGAGAAGCAGACTCCCCGCAGAGCAGGGATCCCGATGCGGGACTCGATCCCAGGACTCCAGGATCGTGACCCGAACCGAAAGCAGTCACCCAACCAACTGAGCCACCCAGGCGCCCCATAAGTTTTTGTACTTTTCAACTCCATGGTTTTTAATGTTTCTCTTTAATGTCTATCTCTTCATTGATGGTATCTACTAGATGAGATATCATTCTCATGCTTTCCTTTAGTTCTTTAAATACAGTTGTTTAAAACTCCATGAAAATATTTAAAATTTGCTGATTTAAGGGGTTTTTTAAGTGAATTCAAAGCCTGGGCTTCCTCAGAGACAAGTTTTATTAATTGCTTTTTTCCCCCCTCTGTATATTGGCCCTACTTTCTTATTCCTTTACATTACTCACGTTTTCATTGAAAACTTGACACTTCTTATATTATAATGTGGCAGTTCTGGAAACCAGACCTCTCCTTCCCCAAGGTTTTTTGTTTTTGCTATTTGCTGTTTTTTGCTTAGTGACTTATGAACTAGTTTGGTAAAGTCTGTGTTTTTGGTCAAGCAAGTGTGGCCATTAAAGTCTGTTGCCGTTATGATCAGCTAATTATTGGACAAAGATCTCCTTAGATACTTACAGCCCAGACATGGCCTACTCTTTGCTGAGGGGTCCTCTGTGCATGGGTCAGGGCATATCTCCAACACTCAGACAGGCCAGTACAACTTGGCCTTAACCCCTCATTTCCTGCTTGTGCACAGCCTCAAGCTCAGCCAGAGGCAAGAGCCTTGGCCTTATCTGGTCTTTCTTGAGCATGTGCACAATCATATGCATGCTTCTGACCTTCTAGATTCCCAGGAATATATCAGAGCTTTCAAAGCCACTGCTGCTATCTCATTGCCCAGACTTTCCTACCAAGCTTGTTGGTTAGTCTATTGTTTGTGCCAGCTCTTAACTGTTGCTTCAGGCAGCAGCAGCTAAAACATTTACCTGGAGAGACTTTTGACAAACATCTCTCAGAGATCAGCATTAGCACTGGGCGAGTTTGAGTCAACTGAAAGAGGCTTTCAAGTAGGATCTTCTAAAGAACAACCAGACAGGTTGGTCTATCTGTGAAACAGCTGTTCATTGGGAATGAAGCTTTGACAAAGTTCAACTCATTCTTCCTCCTCCAGTCTTGGAAATATGGGCTGTTATTTTTCAAGCTTACAGCTGAGCTGGCAACAGGGGATGGTACTAAGGTGGGTTAAAACATCACAAAGCTCATCGTTCTTGCCTAGATTCATCAACTATTTTTGAAGAAGCACTTCCCAGGTCACTGAAAGCCTTTGGTTAATTTCCAGAGTTCTGAAAAAATTGATTCTGACAATATTTGTCATTTTTTGACAATTTATCTTTTACCTGTGAATGGGCCCCTCTTTTGTATGTTTGTTATACTTTTGTTGAAATTATATTTTGAATATTATAATGAGATAATTCTGGAAATCAGGTTCTCCTCTTTCCTTAGGCATTGCTGTTCTTGCTTGTTCTCATTGCTGTTCTGCAGTTGTCCATTTGTATAGTGATTTTCCAAACCACTTTTTACAAAGACTGTTTTCCCTCTCATGTGTGGTGTCTCTTATCGCCTTGGTCATCCAATGGCCTGACCGATTTCCTTAAATGTCTTGATCCGATGAGAAAAGAAATATGTTTTAGAAGTTCTGTCTCTCTAAATGATTTGACAGACACTGCGTGGGAAGCCACTTCAGCCCAGAGGCGCTGAGATGGTGACCAGCCTCTCTGCCAGTTCCATAGTGGACTGCAAAGGAGTGCAGAACACGCAACTCTGATTTTTGGAGGAAAAGATCCTTATTGTCCAACATGCCACCAACTGTCCCCATCAGGAATGCAGGGAGCCATCCCTACAGCTGCCTGTTACGGGACCAGGGGCTGGGAAATGGTAGCTACTCGCAAAACACCAAAATTCATGGATATTTACTAGGCTCTTTGTTCATCAGGCATTCTTGCTGCAAGTTTTCAGCTAGACTCCAGAGTTCTGAAAATGGTTGGTTTTGGTATTTCTTGCCAGTTCCAAGAATTGTTTTGGTAAAAGGAGTGATTCTTGGAGCTTCCTACTTCACCATCTACCATGATGTCATAGACTTTTTGTACTTATCTGACTCTTACTCTTTTGAAGGAGGATTTTTTTTTTTTTCTGGAAATCTCTCAGATAGTCTTTTTCTCCTTGGATGTGCTTAGGTATAGGTGAATCGTTTTTCTTTTATTCAGCATGGACTTTACAGACTTTCAGTCTGAAGTACTGGATTTTTCTTTAGTTCTGGGAAATTTCTATAAATGGTAGAACTTATGGATTAATCTGAATTGCCTCTTTTCTCTTGTTTTCTATCTCTTTGTTTTGGCATGTTTCCTCAGCTTTATCTTTGAAATTGAAATTTAGGGTTTATCCATGTCTATTTCATTATCTGGTCCTTAAATAGAATATTTTCTTTTAGTGTTCATCTTTCTCATTGCATTTTTTCCCCATTTGCTCCTTTTTTCCATGCGTTCTGTTTGCTTAAAGAAATGTCAGCTCTTGGGGCACCTGGGTAGCTCAGTGGGTTAAGCCTCTGCCTTCAGCTCAGGTCATGATCTCAGGGTTCTGGGATCGAGCCCTGCATCAGGCTCTCTGCTCAGCGGGGAACCTGATTCCCCCTCTCTCTCTGCCTGCCTCTCTGCCTACTTGTGATTTCTCTATCAAATAAGTAAAATAAAATAAAAAAAGAAATGTCAGCTCTTCGTATCAGCTATTCTGAACCCTCATTTTGGTCTTTCCTTTTTTTTGTGTTGTGGATTTTCTTCAGTGTCTGGTGAACACTGGGTTAATGCCTGTGTTTGAATGAAAGACCACATTGTCATTTTGATTAGTAGAGATCATATATACAGGAGGTCACTTTGTAGTCCTATGGATCTATTCTGAAGAGGTTGCTCCTGGTGAGAGGTCAGACCGCAGGCCCTAGTGATGGTATCTGTTGACCTCCAGTCTTCCCATTTAGGGTGAATGGTAGGGAAGCAGGAGAGCACGATAGCCTGTCTCATGTATCGCAACCACATTGGTCCCATTGTGCTCGATCTTAGTCACCTCCAACTCTGCTATGTCTCTCTCCAAAATCCCAGCACCACCCCCCTGTAGTCCCTCCCCAAGCCAATCTCCCACCATAATCAGACTTCAGAGGACCCATGAGGAGGCACATGTTTCCTATATGAACACTGACTTTCCACTCTACAGTTTTGAGGAAGACTCCCATTCACAGAGGAAGATTACTATACACAGGCTGAAACCTTTTTTTCCAACCTGCACGTTTTTACACTCATAAACAACTTTAACAATTATCCTCTGTAGCAGCAGCCTAGACCTTGTCCCTTTTACCCTAAATTCTAACTCATAAAACATGTTAGTGAAGCTTTATTGTGTACTCGTTTTGTCCAATAGAAAAGTAGTGTTTTCACTGAATTACCTGATTAATTTGTTAGGTTCGTCAGCTCCGTAGTTAATTAGTATTCTGCTTATGTGTGATCTTTGGGTCACTGACTACTTTCTTTTCTTCCAACAGAGAGATTATTTACCTTGTGAGCCAAGTGATGCCGATTTTCGCTCCCTTTCATCTATTTGATGCACTCGCAGTGAGTACTTGGAGTGATTTAACTCTAATACACAAGGCAAAATGTGTTTTGTGTTTCTAACTTCTGAATTAAACATCTATGATGTCATCTTTGAGAAGAGAGACCTCTTGCTTCAGGCGTTCTTAGCCATTTGTGGGAAAGACAGGGTACCCTAGCATAGCATCCCAAGGTAGAAGAAACCAGAGTTACCCAACCTCTTCTTTATCTGGGGGGCTAAATGCACGTGTGACATCCGAGTCATCTGATTCTGCTGTATTGGCCAAGGTGATTCTGCTGTATTGGCCAAGGCAGGCCAGGCCACCTTTGGGTTCATTCTGACCACTAAAAAGTCCTTCCCTAGGCTGATTTGCTAGAGATATGTAGGTATTTGAAGACCCTGCTTCTGTACCCCAGAATGATGCCTTGAGGCTTACTCTCAATTTCAGCAATTAGCCCTTATGAGATGATTTCTAGGTACATTTGCCATCTTGCTTTTCCCCCCAGGGGATTTCCTCTGTTTGTTCACATCCCTCTGAAGATGTGGTACTCATGTTGAGCACTGGCTGTGTTAAGAATAATGTGGAAGAGAGCAGGACAATCATCACCACTCTGGTTCTGGGCATTTTTTAAGCGCATGGTCACATTAATATTTTTCCGCCATGATATCAGACTGGTTTCTGCTGAGATATCCATCAGTGAACCTCTACATTTTTTAACATATGCTTTTTAAAAAAAAAAAAAGGTTTATTCATGGGGTGCCTGGGTGTCTCAGCTGGTTAAACTTCTGCCTTTGGCTCAGGTCATGATCCTATGGTCCTGGGATGGAGCCCCACTTCAGGCTCCCTGCTCAGTGGGGAGTCTGCTTCTCCCTCTCCCTCGGCCTATCTCCCCTGCTTGTGCCCTCTTTCTCTCTCTGAAATAAATTAAGATCTTTTAAAAAAATTATTTGTTTATTTGGTGGGGAAGGATAGAGGGAGAGAGAAACTTAAGCGGACTCCATGCTGAGGGTGGAGTCTGATGCAGGGCTCGATCCCACAACCCTGCGATCATGACCTGATCCTAAATAAGAGTCCGGTGTTTAACCAAATGAGCCACCCAGGCGCGCCACAGAATATTTTAAAATAGAGATTTAAATAACATTACCTGATGGGTTTCTAATGAAAGTTGCTGTAGTATATTGTTGTTAACATAACCTCAAAAGCGTAACCTTTTTCTCTATCTCTTACATAATGTTCAATTCTCGTTTTGAGATGGAGCTGTTTGACCATATCCAAAATTGTGATATGTTAACATAGTATTCCAAACTTGATGTGATTACAGGGAAATGATTGCAGTGTTGGTTTTGGTATTCCTCTCTTTAGGGCACCTGCGGGGGAGTCCTTCGAGGTACAGGGAAACAAAAGATCGGTGCTATCTTGAATGCCGTTGGTTATTATGTTTTCGGTTTTCCCATTGGAGTATCTTTGATGTTTGCTGCTAAACTTGGGATAATAGGTATGTTTTTGATTCTTCGGTGATCAACCTCAAGTCTCATCTGTCTTATTAAGAAAAACTGCTTGAGATACAAAGCAGCATTATTTTCCTGTGTACAACACTGGAAATGCAGTCTCGAACAAAGTAGACATGATCTGTGCCCTCAGGATGAGTTCAGGATTAATTAATTACCCAGTAATTCCATTTGGGTTCAGTACGGCAGGAGAGAAGACCTTGGCCCTGTGAGCACCTATCATGGGTTGGAGGACAGAGTTACCAGAATGGGCATGCCTAAGGTAGTCCTGCTTTAGCCTCAGACCTGAAACGTGATGAATTACCTAGGTGAAGCGAACACCATTTATTGAAAAACATTCTTTCCCCACTGAATGATCTTGGCACACTTGTTGAATATTAGTTGGCCATAGATGTATGAGCTTATTTCTGGACTCTCTCTTCTATTCCACTAGTGTCTATGTCTGGCTTGTACCAGCACCACTCTGTTTTGATTACTGTAGCTGCAGAGTAATTTTTGAGATCAGGGAGTGTAAGCCTTCCAGCTTTATTCTTTTTAAATTTTGTTTTGGCTATTTGAGGATTCTTGGAATTCCATATGAACTTGAAGGTCAGGTTTTCCATTTTTACACCAAAAAAATTAGAATTTTTTCCTAGATTGAATCTGTACATTGCTTAGGAGAAAATAATGGAATCTTAACAATAATAAGCCTTCCAATCCATGAACACAGAATGTCTTTCCATTTATTTAGGTCTTTAATTTCTTCCAGTCAATGTTTTGTAATTTTCCATGTTATCCATTTCCTTGGTTAGATTTATTCCTAGATATTTTATTCTTTTGGATACAATTGTGAATAGAATTATTTTCTTAATTTCCTTTTCAGATTGTTATGGCGTATTAAAACACAGCTGATTTTTGTGTGTTGATCTAAGTTTATGGAATTTGTTAGCTGTAGTATTTTTTAATGTGTGGATTTTTTTAAGGATTTTCTATATATAGGATCATGTCATATGTAATTAGAAATAATTTTTCTCTATTTCTAATTTTTTACATTTTATTTTATTTTATCAAGATAAGTGTCCTCTTTAATCCCCATCACCTAGTTCCCTCTTTTCCTCCAATATCCCCCATCTTAGTTCTTTATAGTTAAGGGTCTCTTTCTTAGTTTGTCTCTCTTTTTTTTCCTTTACTCCTTTGTTTTGTTTCTTAAGTTCCACATTTGAGTGAAACCGTATGGTATTTGTCTTTGACTGACTTATCTTGCTTTGCATTAATTTACTCTAGCTCTATCCATGCTGTTGCAAATGGCAAGATTTCATTCTTTTTAATGCCTGAATAATTTTCCGTTGCATATATGGACCATATTTTCCTTATCCATCCATCTATTGATGGACACTGGGTTGCTTCCATATCTTGGTTATTATCAACAATGCTGTAATAAATATAGGGATGGATGTATATGTATTTATCGATCTGTCTATCTATCTATCTATCTATCTATATCTTTTTGAAATAGTATTTTCATTTTCTTTGGGTAAATATCCAGAAGCAGGATTGTTGGATCATGTGGTAGTTCTACTTTTATTTCTTTTTTTTTAAGATCTTATTTATTTATTCGACAGAGAGAGAGAGAGATCATGAGTAGGCAGAGCAGCAGGCAGAGAGAGAGGTGAGGGGGAGCAGGCTCCCCGCTGAGCAGAGAGCCCGATGCGGGGCTTGATCCCAGGACCCTGAGATCACAACCTGGGCCCAAGGCAGAGGCTCAACCCACTGAGACACCCATGCGCCCCTCCTTTTATTTCTTTGAGGAACCTTCATACTATTTCCCTAAGTGACTACACACATCCACATTCCCACCCACAGTGTATGAGGTTCCCTTTTTTTTTTTTTTAAGATTTTTATTTATTTATTTGCGACAGAGAGAGTGCGCACATGAGTAGGAGAAGGGGCAGAGGGAGAGGGAGAAGCAGGCACCTCGCTGAGCAGGAAGCCTGATGTGGGGCTTGATTCTGGACCCTGGGATCACAACCTGAGCCAAAAGCAGGTGCTTAACTGACTGAGCCAGCCAGGTTCCTCAAGGTTCTCTTTTCTTCATATCCTTGAAAACACTTTTTAATTCTTGTCTTTCTTGTACTAGCCACTCTGACTTGTGTGAGGTGATATCTGATACCTTTGATTTGCATTTCCCTGTTGGTTAGTGATATTTTCACGTGTCTGTTAGCCATCTGTAAGTCTTTGGAAAAAATGTTGATTCAGGTTCTCTGACCATTTCTTAATCAGATTGTTTTTTGGAGTTGAGTTATATGACTTCTTTTTATATATATTTTGGGTATTAACCCCTCATCAGATACATCATTTGCAAATATCTTCTCCCAATCTCCCAAAGGTAGATTGCCTTTTTGGCTTTTTGATGGTTTCCTGTGCTGTGTGAAAGCTTTTTATTTTGGTGTAGTCCCAATAGTTTTTCGTTTTTGTTTTCCTTGCCTGAGGAGATACATCCATAAATATGTCTAAGAGATTACTGCTTATGTTTTCTTTTGGGAGTTTTATGGTTTGGGGGTTTCACATTTAGGTCTGTACTCCATTTTAAGTTAATTTGTGTGTATGGTATAAAAAAGTGGTTTAGTTTCATTCTTTTTCATGTGGCTATACAGTTTCCCCAACACCATTTTTTTTAAGATTTTATTTATTTATTTGACAAACAGAAATCACAAGTAGGCAGAGAGGCAGGCAGAGAGAGAGAGAGAGGAGGAAGCAGGCTCCCCGCTGAGCAGAGAGCCTGATGTGGGACTTGATCCCAGGACCCTGGGATCATGACCCAAACTGAAGGCAGAGGCTTAACCCACTGAGCCACCCAAGTGCCCTGAATTTTATTTTTTTAGTGAAAAAATAGTCTGATTAGAGGACTTACTAAATGCCGTAGAATGTAGTCAAATAGGTTTAGTTCTGCATCCAATCAGTACATTTTTCCATGTAAAAATTTTGAATCTACTCCAGTTCTCTGTGAAATTTTAATCTTGCAGCTGTCATAAGAGCCTCCCTCTGTCCACACAGACAGGTGCTTAGTTTCTTATCTTGACTTTTTAGGAAACATTACTTGGTGGCCTAAAGAATAACTGTTTTCAATGTCATCTCTCTTTTCATGCCTGGGGGCCTTTGTGTGGCTGATTAATGTCAAGCTGGGCTTCATCATTCTCTGTTTGGGACACAGACCTGCCAAATGTTTATTACTGTCTCGTAGTGCTACCAAACACTGCCCTAAATCCCTGGGAAATACTGTTTACCTAAATTGGGAGAGCCCCTGTCCTCCTCAATAAGCTGCTAGGGTTTAATAATTCTTCTTCACTTAAAAAAAAAACAAAATGCTAAAACCTCTCTCTCAGTAGAACCTAACGCTTCTTTAGAATAAGCAGATTTCCCTCTCTTTGTTCACTAAGAGGCTTTTTACCGTTGTACTTAGTAGGTGCTCAGATTTGTTCAAAAGTCCTTTTAAATTATTAAAATTTTACTTTAATGGTATGGAAATTTGGGGAATTGCTTAAAACACACAGAAAATTAAATTACCTTTAGTTACCCTGCTGAGCTAGAACAGCAGAGGCATTCAATGTATTTTATGCCAGTGTTTTTTCTATTATTCACAGATGTAGGGTTATATTGACTATATAATTTCCTCCCATTCCATGTTAAAGACATGGTTTTTAGTACCTCTACACTACTTCCTTGTATCATTTCTTCAATGCTTCCCTGACAGTGGACATTTAAGTTGCTTCTTGTTATTTATGTATTTTTTAAGATTTTATTTATTTATTTGACAGAGAGGGACAGAGAGAACAGCAGAGGGAGCTACAGAGAGGGAGGGAGAAGCAGGCTCCCCTGCCCCGGGGGGCTCCCTGCTCAGTGGGGAGCCTGCTTCTCCCTCCTCTGCAGCCCCCTGCTTGTGCTCTCTCTCTCTGCCAAATAAATAAATAAAATATTAAGTAAGTAAGTAAGTAAATAAATTGCTTCTCTTTATAAATAGGATTGTGCTGAGCCTCCTAGGTGTGTGAATTACTAAGTTCCCTGACTCTTTCCTCAGGATGGATTCCTAGGAATAGAATCACCCCCTCAAAGGGATGTCAGTCCACTTGCTTCTGAACGGAAGAGAAGTTTTGTTTAATTCTGAGGAGTTTGGTTAAATTCCAGTTTTGTTTCATTATGAGGAACCACAGCAGACTGGCGTCCGTGTGCCTTTGCCAGTGTGGGGCGCCGGACGTGGAATGAATGAATGAATGAATGGACTCATTGACAATCTCTGCCAGATTCCATCTCTCACCAAAGCAGCCAGCTTGGTAGCGGAACTGTTGACATACGAGTGGATATTTTACCTCCATTTTGGTATATAATGGACATTTAACTAGCTTAAATAGTTTCATAGGTGAATAGGCATTGGTTTTATCTTTTTTCTTTTTTTTGAAAGGATCCATTTATATTCTCAGTAAACTTGTCCACACGACAGTTGGTTTCCCCTGGGTCTGGGCCTCTCCTGCCTCTGCCGGCAGGGCCTGACCTGGAGCTGTCACAGCCACTCCCCCTGCCCCCACGGTGAGAGCTGCTGCCCTTCTCGGGGACTCTGGGCTGTGGGTCACTGTTGCGGCGCTCTGTTCAGTGGCTTCTGTAGCCCTTCTCACCCTTCCAGCCAGCACGTTTGCAGCCTTGCCTGTTGTCTGTCTTCCCCAGTAGCGTGTAAGCTCCCGGAGGGCCCTGATCTCGCCAGCCTGTCCCACTCCGTGTTGCTAGCCCTCAAAACCCGACCTGCCACAAAGAAGCCAGTACGTATTTGTTAAATCAGTGTATAAGCAGCAAACAGTTCTGTGCTGTTTTGACTGTTTATTGCCAGAGTGACTGCCGCTGATCGATCAGTGTAAACTTGAGTCTAGTGCCGGTCTATACTTCTGTAAATTTTTAAGGTAGTTATTTTTTTTTTTAAGATTTTGTTTATTTATTTATTTGACAGAGAGAGAGAGATCACAAGTAGGCAGAGAGGCAGGCAGAGAGAAAGGGGGAAGCAGGCTCCCCGCTGAGTGGAGAGCCTGATGTGGGGCTCGATGCCAGGACCCTGAGATCATGACCTGAGCTGAAGGCAGAGGCTTTAACCCACTGGGCCACCCAGGCGCCCCAGGAAGTTATTTTAGCTGAAGTTGTATTAACTCTATAGACATAGTAATCTTGGAAGAATGTGAACGATGACAGAACATAACAGAAGAACACCTAAGCCATGATTCTCATCCTGTATCCGTAGGTCTCTGGTCTGGATTGATCATCTGTGTTTTCTTTCAAGCCCTTTTCTATCTGGTGCTCATCTGCAGGACGAACTGGAAGAGAACTGCCGAGCAGGTAACAGCATCTTCTGGAAGGGTGGCTCTTTCTCGGTCCCGTGGCTCTGTGAGGAACCTGAAGGTCAAATGCTAAGGAGGCCATTGGCAGCATGACTGCTTCATTTCATGGCAAGTGTCTAATGTGAGTTCGGGGCAGAAGGACAGCTCGTTTCAGCACATTTTCTTCTTTGTTCCATGAGTTCAGTATCTACTCACTAGGGTTCAACAACAAATGAGGAATTAGCTTAGAAAATATTTTGCTGTTTTAGTATAAAAATAGTGGATTTTTATCCTGATTATACAGACTTCTCTGTGTTTAGGCCTCTTTTTTTTATTTTTATTTTTTTAATTTGACACAGAGAGAGATCACAAGGAGACAGAGAGGCAGGCAGAGAGAGAGGAAGAAGCAGGCTCTCCACCAAGCAGAGAGCCCGATGCAGGTCTCGATCCCAGGACCCTGAGATCATGACCCGAGCTGAAGGCAGAGGCTTTAACCCACTGAGCCACCCAGGCGCCCCTCGGCCTCTCCTTAGAAACACTTTTGGTCCACGTTTTCCTAAAAGGCAGCGTGCTGAGGATCTGTGATCAGTGAGGAATGCTTGGGGGAAGAGCCATAACCTCCGGGTATAGGAACGGGATGGCGACTCTATGGGCCTCTCTGGGTGTGACTTGTGAGCTGTGTTTATTCTGTGAAGATGAGATGGATGACAAGTTGGGGTAGGGGATGTGTTACTGATAGGGAGACAGGCGCTGAATTTAGTGCACAAAGTGCCCCTGCTTCAATTTTGTGTCCTGTCCCCCGGGTTCACATGCCTTTGGTTTTCCTAGTTTGATGTATGGTGTCTTTCCTACCTTAGCATGACGTATGGAAGGAGGAAGTAGTACCGGACATTGAGCTGGGCCATAAACCGCCCTTTATATGATAACGCCATTCATCTTTAGACTTTATTTTGTATAGCAGGGCTTAAGAACACCGAAATGTGCAGTGCAAGAAAAATATGAAAATTGCAACTACTGGCACAAGTTGCCTTTTACATTATGATTGTGAGCTGAGCACTGGGGAGAATAGCGGTTGTCCGGGGTCACGTTCTATGGTCATTGATGTTTTCAGGACCAGAAAGGACAGTGCTAGATGTTAGAGCTCTTTTTTTTTTTCAAGATTATTTATTTATCTGAGAGACAGAGCAGGAGAGGAGCAGGGGGAGGGGCAGAGGGAGAAGCAGATTCCCCACTGGGCAGGGAGGCCAATGGGGGACTTGATCCCAGGACCCCAGGATCATGCCCTGAGCCGTGGGCAGACACTTAACCGACTAAGCCACCCGGGCGCCCCGATGTTAGAGCTCATTAGGAGAGGTTCTATCGGTAGCTCGGGTGAAATTTTAACAAGAGAATACTCGCCCAACTTGATGTACACTTCATTGGCTTCTTTGACGCTTGTTTTCAGGCACAGGTCCGAGCTGGGCTTAAAGGGATCAAAGAGACCACACCGTCACCAGCAGGTAACAGAGCACAGTCTAGTGGCCTTGATCTGCCTCATGAGGCTGAAACTTAGTGTAACCACAGTTAATAAGTTATGAGATCCTGCTCTCCTGCGTAATAATCTTGTCCCTGCCCTACTAATTGGGAGATCAACGGTGGGTTCTCCTGTGAAATGTTCTCAATGTAATTTCACATAATACCAGGCAATAATTGATGGTCATTGCCGACAGTGTGTCCTAAGGAAACTTCCCATAGTATCTCTTTACTGAACCCTGTACGTAAGGGTATATACGCCACTGTCTTCTGCCATCAGATCTACCCGTCTTGGAGAAAGAAGTAACTGACGGAGTGGTTCTGCCTGATGTCCTCACACCCGAGAGCCAGACCTTCCAACTAATGGTCCTAGAGGAAAGCAGCCAGTACGCCGTGTCAACCATCGGGGATGTCCTGACAGGAAGCCAGTTGATTTTCTATCGTGGAATAGCTCTAGCTGTCGCCGTCGCTGTTCTTTTAGCGGGCATTTTAGTAAGGGTCTTCAATGACCGTGGCTAAAATAGAAGAATTAGCACCAGCCCACAGACTAGACATAATCATTCCATGTTGTCTTAGTTGTCCCAAGAGTCTGCACTGTCCTCGTGGAGATCAAGACCGGAGGTGGAATTCTAAGTTTCTCCCAGACGTTAACTCTATCATGGCTTATAAATCTGTAAATTTGATTGTCCCTGCTGGATGTGTTCTGTGCTCTTATGTTGAATGTCTTCCCTCTTTCAGGAAAGTTCATTGCCGTGTAAAACTGATTGCTGAACCAGCTTTGTTTGTATTTCTCTGTTAGTGTATTTAATCTTACCAGTGGGTATGTATTAAGTGCCTGTTCAAGTTCTATCTCAGGTATGGCCATACAAGCTTTTATAAAATTAAACACCTTAAAACTGAAAATGCATGCTAATGATATTTGAGGCTATAAAAGCTATCGAAATGCTAACTTTTAGTTTTGGGCCTTCAAATACATTTTTGTGGCAACTTTTGTATTAAAGAATCAATCTGTGTTTTCTTCTGCTGCTCAGCTCCCCAAATGCGGCCCTCTCCCAGCAGGGTTTTAAAGCCTTTATGGGGAGTTTGAGCAATCCAAATAGAAAATACTAAAAACAAACAAACAAACAAAACCTAATATTGGGGATCCCCTCCACAAAGCCCACCAAGTGACCAGTGTCCCCATTGGCTTTTCATCTCTTTCTCTGAAATGAGAACAAGCCTAGGATGACCAGACAGCTGTGAAAAAACAGTAATACAAGAAGGCAACTGAAAAGAAACCAAGACTTCATAGGGTAAAGAAGACTTACATCCTCAAAGGGATAACCCCAAATACTGCAACCATGATCTAGAACAGGAAGCTCTAGAATGAAACATTCAGGAAAACTTTGGAGCTAAAATTCACATAACATAAAATTAACCAGTTAAAGTGTATAATTCAGTAGCATTTTGTACATTTACATTTACACATTTACACAAATTACATTTGTGATTTTCTGTTTGTTTTTAAACTATTGGTTTTTTTAAAGGTTTTATTTGAGGCACCTGGGTGGCTCAGTGGGTTAAGTGTCTGCTCAGGTCATGATCTCAGGGTCTTGGGATGGAGCCCCACATCAGGCTCCTCCTCAGTGAGGAGCCTGCTTCTCCTCTACCTCTGCCTGCCCCTTCCCCTGCTTGTGTGCTGTCTCTCTTTGTCAAATAAATAAGTAAAATATTTTTTTAAAAATGTTTTATTTAATTATTTATTTGAGAGAGAGAGCACAAGCAGGGGAGGGGCAGAAGGAGAGGGAAAAGCAGACTCCCTACCGAGCAGGGGGCCTGATGTGGGGCTCGATCCCAGGACCCTGAGATCATGATCTGAACCAAAGGTAGATGCTTACCTGACTGAGCCACCCAGGTGCCCAGAAAGTTTCTAATTTTGATGAAGCCCAGTTCATCTATTTTGTTCTTTTTTTTGCTTCTGCTTTTGTCATCATATCTTAAAAATCCATTGCCAGGTGATAAGAAAAAAAAAAAAACAAAAACGTTAAGTACTCTGGGAATCTAAAAACATTATGGAAGAATTTAAAAACAAAATAGAAGACTTTGTTTCCAGCATGACATGTCAGGAGGTTGGAGGTCATCAAGAATTCTCAGTCAAGAGTTCTAGGACTGACTTACTTCTCTGTCACCTGTGACACCAAATATGTGTGGTTCTTCTAGGCAAACAACCAGTTTTCCAAATCTCCCAACACCAGCTGGAGATCTGATGATTCCATTGAATTCTGACGCTACGTACCCAGAGTCCGTGTCACACCCCAGATTGAGGCTTAGGGGCTCAGACCCACAAGACTGACCCCAACTCGAGAAGCCCAATTGCAAGTCCACGCCCACCCAACTTTTTCTGACTGACCAGCTGTCAGCTGGGGGTTTTTCAAGGCTCCATTCTTGGATTCGACAATTTGCTAGAACAGCTCACAGGACTCGGGAAGATGCTTGACATATGGCTACTGTTTTATTATGATGGTTACAACTCAGGAAGAGCTCAATGGAAGGGATGCACAGGGGAAGGGACAAGGGGTGATGATGCTCAGAGGTCCCACGCCCCTTCTGGGCATGTCACCCTCCCAGCTCCCCCATGTGCTCACCAGTCCAGAAGCTCTACAAATCCTGTTGCTTAGAAGCTTTTTTGAAGGTTCCATTAGAGAGAGTGATTGATTTGAACCACTGGCCATTGGTGATTGGACTCCTCTCCAGTCACTCTCCCCTTGCTGGAGGTTGGGGGGCGGGGCAGCAGGTCCCAACCCTCTAATCCCATGTTGGTCTTTAAGCGGACCTGACCTTTCCCCATCCTGAAGTTATCCAGGGGCACACGAAGAATGACTTTCTTAGCATAAGCTTGGGCAAGGTTAAAAGGCCTCATCATGCATAACAAAAGATGCTCCTCTCACCTCAGGAAATCCCAAGGGCTTTAGAAGCTCTTGATCAGAAACCTTGGGCACTTGGATGTCACAATAACAAAAGAACAGCTGACTGAACCATCAACTCCTCTTGCTAGATCCCTCAGAGAACTGAGGTCACAAAGATAACTTCTTCCCCAGAAACTGAAGAGATGGACAGATACAGCTTACCAGAGCAGAGGCGGCTGGAGCCAGGAACAGGAAAACAGGAACTGAAACTGACTAGTTGCTAGACAAGCTGAAGAGTTAAAAATTTCAAGGGGGTTTCATCTTAGGTGAGCCCCATAAAATCCCATGAATTTCATCTTCAGGGCCCCGTCAGGTTCTCAGAGTGTAGATAAGCGAAAACTCCCATGCTTCTGTAGGAGGTGAGAGAAATGGGACCATTGAAAAATATGCCCAGCGCATTCTGTGCTGTTCAACCAAAGCCTACCTTCAAGGGAAACTTTTACCAGAGGTAAAAACTACCTTGGGTTTTATCAGAACCTAAGCTGGTGGGAGGGAAAGAAGTAAACTCCAATCCCTCCAGCCTTCCACAAGGAGAAATGAAATACCCACGTAGACCCCTCTATCCTTCCGTCATCCTAAGGGATAGAGGGAAGCAGAATCATTCAGGAAGAGTAGGAACAGTCCAGAGACACACAGGCCCTTTAAAAGACTTGAGTGAGACCTTATCACTGAACACTTCCCTCTGCCACGCCTTACCATCACGTCAGTTGAGCTCCTGTATAATAACAAGAAATTACAACAGAAAGAATGATGTATCTCAAACCTTACTTAACTCTAGCAAAGCCAAAAGACAACAAGGAGAGCAAAAATCAGCAGACACCAGGGGAAATTTTAGCCCCTGGCAGCTACAGTCACAAAAACTATAGACATAGCTTATGCCCCAGGCAGATAAACATAAATCCTCCCATCAGAAACCTGTTGACCTCAGTTCCTTTTATCCAGTTCATCCCGTCTAGCTTCCAACAGGTGGTTCATTACAAGGCCTGCTTAAAGGCAATACAGTTTAGAGAGACAAAGCAAGCATCAGACCAGACTCAGATATGGGAGAGATTTGGGGATGATCAGACTGGAAATTTTAAATAACTAGGATTGATATGTTAAGGGTCTAATGGGAAAAGTGGACAACGTGCAAAAACAGATGGGTCATGCAAATCAGAGAGAGAGAGAGATTCTAGAAATTATCCAAAGGAAAAGTTAGAAATAAGAAATGCTGTAACAGGAAAAAAAAAAAAAAAAAGTAAGTGCCTTTTGTGGGCTTTTTAATAGACTAGACATGACCAGTGAAAGAATCAGTGAGTTTTTAGAAAGTTCAATAGAAACTTCCTGTCTTAGTCTGTTTAGGGGGTGATAGTGAAATACTACAGACGAGTAGCTTATAAGCAACAGAGATTTACTGCTCACGGTCCTGGTGGCTGGGAAGTCCAAGGTCAAGATTCAAGTGTGGTCTCATCCTGTTAAGGGCCTTCTTCCTGGCTCCTAGCCAGTGCCTTCTCATTGAATCCTCAAAAGGTAAGAGGGACAAAGGATCCCTCTGGAGCCTCTTTTAGAACACTGATCCCATCCATTCACTTCCCAAAGGCCCTACTTCCTAATCCTAACACCCTTGGGAATTAGGACTTAAACGTGAATTTGGGATCAAATGTGATTTTGGGGGAACTTAAACATTCAGATATAGCCATTCCCAAATGAAATGCAAAGAGAAAAAGAATGGGAGAAAAAAAGAACATCCAAGAACTGTGGGACAATTAGAAAAGGTGTACCATGAAAAAGAAAGAAAGAAAGAGAAAGAAATTAAAGAAGGAAGGAAGGAAGAAAAAGAAAGTAGGAAAGAAAGAAAAAGAAGGGCGCCTGGGTGGCCCAGTGGGATGAGTCTCTGCCTTCAGCTCGGGTCGTGGTCTCAGTGTCCTGGGATCAAGCCCTGCATTGGGCTCTCTGCTCAGCAGGGAGCCTGCTTCCTCCTCTCTCTCTCTCTCTCTCTGCCTGCCTCTCTGCTTACTTGTGACCTCTGTCAAATGGATAAATAAATTCTTTAAAAAAAGAAAAAGAAAAGGTGTATCATGCAGTGAATGGGAGTATCAGAAGGAGGAAAAAAAAAAGGAATAGAAGAAGACATATTTAAAGTTAATAACTGAGACTTTTGCAAAATAATGACAAACACCAAACCAGATTCAACTTAAGGAACACCAAGTAAGATAAATACCCAAAACTCTACACCTACGTATATTATATTTAAGCTGCAGAAAATTGAAGAGAGTCTTGAAAAGAAGCCAGAGGGGGAAAAATAGTACCCCCAATGGAGCAAGCCGAAGAATTATGTCAGACTTCTCTTGAGAAACTATGCATGCAAGAAGAGAGTGGAATGGAATATTTAAAGTATTGAAAGTAAAAAATCGTCAGATGAGAAATCTGTACCTAGGGAAATTCTTCAAAAGTGAAAAGGAAATAAAGACTTTCTCAGATGAATAAAAATTGAAGAAATTTGTCATCCATATACCCACCTTGCAAGATATGTTAGAGGTTCTTTAGAAGGACGAAACATGGTCTACATCAGAAACTTGGATATACATGAGAAAAGGAAGAGCCTTAGAAAAGAAATGAAGATAAAATTAGATCTTTTTTAAAAAATATTCTTAATTTATCTAATGGTGAAAATGTTTGTTGAAAATAATAACAATGTATTTGGCTATTGTAACTTATGGATAACTAAAATGAGTGACAGTAGTGTTACAAGGGTTGGGAGGGAAGTATTGGGAATACTCTGTTATAAGGCATTTGCACTACCCAAGAAGGGTTATTTTAAAGAGGAATTAGAGGGGTGACTGGGTGGCTCAGTCGGTTAAGTGTTTGACTCTTGATTTTGGCTCAGATCGTGATCTTGGGGTCATAAGATCAAGCCCTTTGCCAGGAGTGGAGCCTGCTTGAGATTTTTTTCTCTCTCCCTCTGCCCTCCTCTC